TTTTGTTAAATCTTATGTGGTACCGCCTGATTCGACTTCTAATGGTTAAGTGAAGTGTTTTCTTCGCGGTACGGTCTGGATTCTTAAATATTATGAAGACGAGCTTCGGCTTCAAAGGGTTAAATAACGTTTTGCTATTCCGTTCGGATCGCTTGCTTCTGCTGGCGCTTACACCGACTCCGACTGATGACGTCACTCGCCAGCGGCGGTCGCATGCCACGGCCTGGCGACTACTTCCGTCGCTCTGTTCCGGAACACGGAGTTCAGCGTCGGGCGCTGCCGTCTGGTCATCGAGGGAACGTGTCCTGATCCAGACGTCGAGTTCTTTCTCTATACCAGGTAATGTCAAAGTCACTGTCGGACGCGCACGACGTTTCGGCGGATGGCTCAACTCCAGACTTTATGTAACTGGCTACTGTCCTATTCATTTCTATTGCACACTTCCCCGCCGCCTTTATACACTACAATAACAGTGAAATTTCGCGTATCTCCACACGTTCTTACAACAGAAGACGATAACGTAAAGCAAGGTGCTCGATGTTCAGGTCCAACCCCACGGACGCACAAATCATCGCCGTCAATGAGGGACTCCTGAACCTGACGTCGTCCAATTTCAACTCGTCACACCCAACGAAGTTCATCATCCACGGCTACAACTCGGACATGGATCTGGACGTACTCGTGGACATACGTAAAGGTGAGCGGCCACAAATGCGGATCTGAACCAAGCACCTCCCGAAGAAGCAGGAGTTCTATCCATGGCAAAGCGATCAGACGCATTTTAAAAGAGTTTTGATCGGGAAAATGGAATTGGACCCCACGATGTAAGATTATGTCGTATCGTTATCAATGACACTACAATTGTTTGCACTCTGCGACGTTTCAGCGTATCTGGACGAGGGAGACCACAACGTAATTGCAGTTGACTGGTCGCGCCTTTGTCCAGGACCCTGCTACCCCAGCGCCGTCTACAACGCAAAGTTCACTGGCAAGTGCATCGCCCAGTTCCTGCAAGAGCTGCGTCTGGTCGGAGCCTCCGACGTCCACGTCGTCGGCTTCAGTCTCGGGGCTCACGTGGCGGGATTCGCCGCGAACAACCTACGACCCTACAGACTGCCTCGGATCACAGGTACTCGTAGTAACTGGCTTGGTGAGACCTTAGGGTCTCGCGGCGATGATACCATTGGACAGGAGGCTGGGTGGGTCCAGAGCCGGTCTGGAAGCAGATGCTAGATGAAAAATCCTCTGTCCTTTGTCAGGGATTGAACCCCTGGCATACGTAACGCAGCCTAAATATATATATAAGCTCGTGGCTTAGCGTTCTGGACTCGTGTAGCTGGTCATGGGATCGAATTCCAATCGGGACATATTTCGTTATTTCTTTTAAAATTAAGACAGGCCACGTACTGAAATGACACTCGACGCCGTGTTTCAGGCTTAGACCCGGCCATGCCATTCTTCGCGACTGTGAACAAGGATCAGAAACTGGACGCCTGCGACGCTGATTTCGTGGACGTTATCCACACGAACGCCTTCGTACAGGGCAAGATAGAGAGAAGTGGTGATGTGGACTTCTACGTAAACGGAGGGATCAGTCAGCCGGGCTGCTGGAGTGACCCCAGTAAGACGATCATGTAGTTTACTTCACACAGAGAAATTGACGATCGGCCAATCAGGGGAGGGTCCAGGGCTTGATTTGTTGTAAAGGGCCACGATTTGACTAGCTGAGCAACTGTCAAGGTGGAGTACTAACCTTAGACGCGAGTGTAAATAATGAAGTCTGTCTGACGTTCCCGCAGACCCGTTCGGGTGCAACCACCACCGAGCTCCTGCGTACTTCGCCGAGTCCATTACATCGACGAAGGGCTTCTGGGCCTGGCACTGCTCCGGCTTCGTTCCCTTCCTGCTGGGGCTCTGCCCACCGATGTATCCGGCGGTGGTCATGGGTGAACGCGTCCCGGCCAAGTAAGTGACTCCGAAATTCGAAAATGCAGCCGACAGAAACCACGCTTCATCCTAACACTGACTGCAGTTTCCTTCCTCAAATAACTTGATCAGAACATTTCCGGGATTTTGGTTGAAAAATTATAATTCCAAACTAGCAATCAGAAAGGCCCATGCATCGAAGATGTGATCTAAAAACTACATCATTATGTAAACTCACTTTAGACACTAAAACTGATGATACAAAATCACCACCTCAAACGACGGACGCCTACTTGGCCAACTGTTTTACACAGAACCCAGTTTTGCCTTCAATACTTCTTGAGAAGCTTACAGTCACTCAGCTGCTCGAAAAAAATGTCATAACTCTTATGAAACCCGAATGTTCATCGCCGTGTTAAGAAGAGACCGCCACCGGCCCCTACCTTGAGCCGTATCAACCCAGATCCATTTTAATATTGTTCTCCCCGCTTGCATCCGAATCTCCCCAGCGGTTTACTCGTGTCGAGACCCACCGAAATGACATCAGGCTCGCGACGTCTTATGAGTCTGTGTAAAACTAAGATGCGTCTTCACAATGGACCAGCCGAAAATACGATGTGCTGTCTCAGACCTGTCAAAACAGTGGTCCACCGATGCCACCAGATCAAATGGTCAGACGGGAAATTCGTTGCTATATGTGACTCAGGGTATGGACCAGTGGCAGGCTCTTGTCAACAAGGCGATGAACTTTCGGGTTTCATAAAAGGCAGGGGCTTCCCCGATCACCTGAGCGACTATCAGTTTCTCAAGGACGACTCGACTTCATGTAGACAGAATCGCACCATAATAATGTTTGTTTATGCAACCCGCAGTTCCCGCGGGTTCTACCTGGTGGCTACAGGAGCAGAGAGCCCGTTCGCTTTGGGCAAGTGGGTGACGTCGCCCGAAGATGAGCCCCGGCACAAACTCCGGGTCGGGTTCTCTGGTGTCAACGACATTGACACGCAAGGGTCACGTGGGGCAGTGCCCGTTGTCCTGGAGGTGTGACTGCCTTTTTACCCATCTTCAAACTCAAATCCCACATAATTAACTCTACCTTTAACTGGCGACAAATTGGTTTGCGTGTACTGACCGGTCTCACTGAAGGACTTGGTCACGTACAGACATTTTCTGTCTGCTACAACAAACTCCAGGGGCTTCCCGGAGAATTTTTTAGGGTGAAAAGCTCCCGATCTTTGATTAAATTAGGGACGCCAGTTTCTTTCCGATATATCGACATCGTATGATATCGAGAAAAATAACGGATATCGGTAAAATTTCATGTGACGACGATAAATCTCATAATCGTCACTGTTTACTCTTAAGCACCTAAAATAAAACTAAAAAAATCTCCATTAATTGAACTTAATTTGGGGAAAAGTTTCAGTTCATTATTAGGAAGAATGAAACGTGTGATTAACCATCACATTTGTGTACTCTGATGTAAATAAAGTGTTCCTATTCTGTGTCAAAGGCTGGATAAAGTTTGGTGTATGAATAATTTGTAATTACGTGCGGGTAGAACCTGCCACTCTAATATGCATTTAAGAGAGACTTCATAGTACGAATAGTAACACTACACAGTGTTTAATGGCGAATTTAATCTGGCAAAACTATAAAGAACTGATAAAATGATCGCATGTCGAACGACATCCCTAGAATACGCTGAGACACGCTTAGAGGTTTGTAAGGTGACGGAGATTAAGATGGTTTGGGTGTCCGATAAGAAGCTAATAAGTTGACAATACATTTTATTTTAAAAATCAAACACATGGACGATGTCTTGTTCCTTTTCTATCCTTCACACAAATTCGGTAAAATAAAATTATATTCTTCTTTACATTGATCTCTGTGGACAAATGTACAAGATCATATTTGAGCAGCTGCAGCCTTCGGAGGACTTACAGGCACCCCAGAAGTGCATTCAGGAGAGGACCCAGGTTCTTATCTCGGCCCTGAGACAAGCTGTCATCATATATTTGTGATTTCCTCAGTCTCTCCAAAGAAAATACGTAAAGCTTCCTACATCCTTTCCTATTCAGTGTTCACTGATCGTCATACCATTACGGCGGTATGCAACCTTAGATTGGAAAAGCGTCGTTAAATAACCAAAAATATAAAGAAATGTGTATATACCCTTCTATCATCTTGCGTTGATTGATGACAAAATTTCTTGCATCCTGAACAATCTTACATTCTGGTATGTTCTATAAAATACGATCACCGATAAAGGACAACGCAACTGTCACTTCCCGGCTCTCGGTTGGGACTGCATATCTCACCTCTCAGCGCTCTGGTATAGTGGCTATATGAAACAATAGAAACAGCCAACTTTTTCTATCAGTTCCTGCCTGGAAGTTAGATTTGCGTTGAGCTTTTATCAGCGAACGCAATCTGTAACTCCGCGATCATCAACGCCGCTAGAGGAAGAAGGAAAAACATGGAATGTGTGAGTAACACGAGACGCCACGATGATCTAATCCAAAATGTTGGTGACATTTTGTGAGAGAGCTGGTCTGTTACGCTGATGAGCTATTTATTACCTTCCGCCCAAACCAAAAGCTCTCGCCACCCCTTGTCGGCTGTCCGCTACTGTTTATTCAACATACTCGCGCCTCTGCGTCCATATCTGGACGCCTCGTCGTGCGTTATGCCGTGTGACATGTCCAATGAGGAGTATTTAATCAAAAGTACATTCCACTCACAAAGAATGACCAATCTCTCGGAATAGTCTAATCTTAAAAAATCTGATTGGTTGTTCGAGTATGAACCACTTCTTAATATATGGCCACATCACTTAGAAATCACCTCATACTCAGATAAGAGATACAAAAACGTTTGATCAGAAGTCCCCAATCGATGATAACACTAACAACATGTATTTTCGATAAAACCGTATTAGAGCAGATAACACGTGACCCTGGACATCAAGAAACGCCCTCTTGCAGTAAATGAAGAGTCGTCGCCACCACAGAAATTCGCACGGACGGAGTATGAAATGGCCGGAGCATAAGAAATTCGTACACAATTCTGATCGTTAAACCTGGAGGGAAGAGACCATTTGTGAAACCTAGTCATATGTGAGAAGATAATATTAAAATGTACCCTCAGCAAAAAAGGCTGGGTCTTGTGAATACGGTAATGAACTTTAGAATTCCGTACAAGTGAGGGGTGGCCATAACAACTGAGCATTTTCGTAGAGCTCCGAGTTAATTCGGGATGCCACTAGGGGACTCGAAGTTAGAGGTCCTCACGACTGTGAGAATGTCGGTTGTGGTCCTGAATATGGAGGCTGTATGTCCTTCCGAAACAATGGTAATCGTCTACGGTACATGACTATGTCATAATCCACAGACCACGACCAACAAATACCTTTTCTGATCCGCGGGGTTAAAAAATGCATGCCAATAATTACAACTTGAAGGCGAATGTCAAAGCTGCCCTTGGCCTCTCTCTTGAGTGTTGTTTACCAATACGAAGTTACCGCTATCTGATATCTCGAGCATGACGTCGTCGCAAGTTTTTTCCTTCTTCAGAAGATTATCGGCACACAGCACGTTTCATTTATCTCATGCCTGCACTGGTGCAAATCCGTACAAATGAGTTCCTTACGTAACGTTTTCATCGAGATTATGTTTGGACGACACGAACTGCTCATAGGCAACGTTTACTTACAATTTACTATCTCCGATAAATGAACCTGACATTGGTCACATTTCTGCGAAAGTAAAATTAAATTCCTTTCCTTCCCCGCGGCCATTGCAAAACCGATAAATACCACTTTAATATTATACAGCCTCCCAGTCGTACAGTTCCTGAGTTATAAATGTCGAACGCCGGTAATTAAAACGCAAAAACCAGTTTGTCACAGCGCGCGCCTGTATTTGGGCACAAACGTTTCGGAGAAACAAACTGCCTCCATCTTCAGGACCTTCTTCTCGAGGCCACATTTAGTAACCTTTCATGAATATGCACTCAGGCCATATCTTATCCTGCAGTTTCATCTGTGAAGTGCTTTCACAAGTAGCAGCTACCAAATTTGATTAAGAAACGCGGTACTTGAGAAAACATAGTACACATTTTATAGTGAAAACAGATAAAATACATAGGCGTATCTTGATAATGTCAAATATAGCAAACTGACAATTTTTGACAGAACGCGATAGCGCACGCCTATAAAATTCAGTTGTGCCCGGGCAAAATGCCAGAGGATTTCAAGAATGTCGCACAAACACCTCGTTCTTTTGGCGGTCGCCATTCTGACCACAACATGCGGTAAGATTACAAACACACCTAAATTTATTTAAAATTCGCTTCACTCGGTAAATAAACACAACAGACATTTTGGGTTTTTATTCGATAAAATATCGAGAATCTTAAATTCTCTCTTCCCCAAGATCGAGTCTAATATCATCCAGCGGCTCCTTTCCCCAAGAGCCGTACTCATCAAAATTTCCGAAGCATTTCTTGTTTCTTGCGTAATGAAATTTCTGCCCGGGTCACGATGTCAAAGCGATACCAAAATCGTGACTCGGGGAATTAGTCAAAGTCGTCGGCGGCTTAATTATGAAATGATAATATTAAAATTATCTTAAAGAACAGAGGTGTTGATCAAGTTAATTAGGATTTTATCTTGAATTTAACGAGAAACAATAACAATTTAGTCCGCATGGAAAGAAAACACAATCAGTTATTTCTTTAGAGTTGTATAATTGTGTTCAGAATTTAGTTTTTTTTTTTTTTCGAACAGCGGTTCTGAAACGAGGTCTCGAATGTTTTAGGTGGAAATACCATCAACGAACTCCCACTGCACATTCGTCAAATGAAGAATGTTCACTACGACGGCGGGGTACCCTGGATGCTCATCCCGGATGGTGATGGAGTGCTCCATGTCGCCATTTTGACAGACATTCCAGGACCAATCACAAGAGACGTAGCAGAAGACGTGAATCTCGAACTGTACACTAAGTACGACTACGTAATGCATTAATTTTTGCGATTATTTCAAATTTGATTAATGGCAGGTGTTCGAGGACTTGCCTTCTGCCTTCCAGGTCCTGCTTTACGTAAAACTTTAGCCTGAGATTAAATATTGGGACTGGACGCATTTCCTTCTACCCTGAAAAGTGTTTTTATCAGTTATTTCTGATTTTTTTTCATTCTCTGTCAGAAGTATGTCTGAAAATTCCAACTTGGAGACATTTCTTACGAATAATTCTGCTTGTTTTATATCCATAAATCAATAAACAAATAATTAAAAAAAGGTAACGCTAAATTTGTCTTCGGTTAAGTAGTCAGCTTCACGTTCCGTCTACTTTACTAACAGAGAGACAGCCACCAGTACCCATCGCCTACGAGACTAGGCAGGCCCCAGAGCCGGCCTGCACGCGGTAACTAAGAGGAATAATTGTTTGCCCCCACCGGGAATCGATTCCCAGTCATCGCCTACTCACTACAGGCGGTGAGCTCACTGAGTTACCCGGCTCCTGAGTCGCCGATAAATCCAGGCATAAGATTAATCGCTCTCAGCAGAAATTTCTGATCCTGTTCCAGCAAAATCGGCAGCTCCGTACCAAACCGACTGATAGTCAACGATCCCGAGAACCTGAAAAATTCTGGATTCGATTCCAAAAACCCAACGAAGATCCTGGTCCATGGTTTTTCTGGAAATGGCAGAAACTCCATGATAATTGACAGCAAAAACGGTGAGTGTTTAAAGTCGACTACGAACGCCTACACTCTGTCTTCATACAAAATTTCACACGGCTACGTCCACTGCTGCGAGGGCCGAACGCAGATTTCGCGAGGCTACCACTTTTTAATCGTAGAATATATTTCAAAAATCGACGCTATTTAGTCTCAGCTACCGACAGCGTAGTTAAATAATCTACGCGCCATCTCATCGACTGGAACTCGTTTCCTGGAGAAACTGCCAGTTCCTTACCGAAAAGAACGATCATGACAGAGCAGAATCAGTCGCTCAAGAAGTCGATACATCACCCGCCTTATACGGAAACCGTTGTTTCATCACCGTGCTATCAAAAGCCATTCACGGGAACTCAACCTGACACAAAAGAATATAAAACATTCCACACATACACACACAGATCATTTACGATCTCTTCTCCTTCTGGTCACAAAATCAGACCAACAAATGACCTGTTTCGGCCTCAACATTGTAGTGGTGTCGTGGTCTTATAAGAGACAATCACCGTCTCCTTACAAACCCTTGCATACAATTCATGACCGCTGATATCACACGCTGTTAAGTAAAATCTGTTCCCGTGACAACGCTGATGACTGGCAGTCCTTTGGATCTAGCAGCTCTGTTCGGTATCTAAAACCCGTTTTCTCCACGTTCTTGCAGCCTACCTAGCTAAGGGCGACTACAACATCATCGGCGTAGACTGGGGAGTGCTCTGCCCTTCGCCGAACTACATTACCGCCTGTCGGAACGCCGTTCTGGTCGGCGAGCACCTCGCAGACCTGGTGGAGTTCCTCGTGGAGAACGGCGCGAAGTTGGAGGACATCCACATAACCGGGCACAGCCTCGGCGGTCAAGTGGGAGGATTCGCGGGCGGCAGTACCCGGACGGGCAAGATCGGCAGAATCACAGGTCAGCAGCTCCTGACTCAGAATGTGCAGTCCAGTGTCTTAAAATAGACCACGGCTATAGTAGCCTAACCCGCCACACGTTTCATAATCCCCAGGTCATTCCACGCTAAGCAGCAGCTGATACGAAACAACGCATAAGAAATTTGAATCAATCCGACAGCCTGGTAAAAAGCTGGCAGTGGTTCAACCTTCCAACACAAATCTGCGTTTAACCTTCCGGGACTCGAACTAGTGACAGATTATAAACAGCTCAATAATTTACTGATCGATTTCTGTGTGTGATTTCCACTATCGCCGTCCTAGTGTCGCTACAATTTCACATATTCTCAAGACGGCCATGTTGGTACTTCCGATGACAGAAATTACAAAGAATTTCCTTACAAAACCAGGCAAGTCGTCACGGAATTTCTGTTGTTCTCGGTGTGCAGGTTTGGACACGGCGTACCCGATGTTCGGTAACGCGGACGCAGCTGGGCGCCTGGACCCAGACGACGCCATCCTGGTGGACGCCATCCACACCTGTG